AATTCTGACATGCTGTCTACTCCGTCCAAGCTTTCATGCTCACACCACTTCAGGTTTTAAATTCTCTTCTTTGGATCTTGTTGTGTTGTCCCTATATTAAATCCTCAGACTGCAAGTTTTCATGTTTCTGGGTGCTTGCCTTTTGGCTTTAATGAGAGTCAGCTCAACCAGATAGCTTGCCATGTTGGAGTTCCCCAGAAGTGAGAGGAGGAGAAATTTGCTAATTTGAGACCCTTGACATTCAAATAGTGTGGAAGTGGGTTCTAGACATGTAACCTTCACCAACACAGAAACAATATAAGGAAGGAGATTATAGAAAGACACAGTGGTGTAGATGCCAAAGGTACGCAGAACACCTAATAGACCAGACCAGAGAAGAAAGCTTAGTGAAAACACTAAATCCACACAGCAGTGAGGGGATATTGACAGCTTCAAGAGAAAAGACACAAGCCACGCTGTGAAGACACAAGCCACGCTGTAAAGACACAAGCCATGCTGTGATGGCTCTTCTTAGTTGTCATCTTGACTACATCTGGAATCAACTCTAAAGCCCAAGTGGCCGGGTACATTGCTAACATTTTTGTTCTTAAGTAAATCATCTGAAGTAAGACAAACATCTACTTTTAATTCAGATCTTTTGAGTAGGAAGATCCCCCCTTTAATCTGGGCAACACCTTCTGATGGCAGCCAAGTCCCAATGGGAACTTTTGTAATTAAAAGCCAGAAGAGATTGAGGCAATGTACTCCAAGATCTAAAATCAAGCCACAAATGCCAACCCAGACCACTTTACTTAGCAAAGCTATCTGCTTTGGTTGAAGCATAAAGAAAAACATTTTATGAGAACACACACAACATACACATGCACACACAAACACAATCACACACGCACACACACACGTTCTTTCTGACTTACAGAGAATACCAGATTACTGCAGACTGAAGAGAGGAATAAACACAGCAAAAAGGTCAAATAAAAATTGAAGCTATATTTACTGAAACACAAAATCGGACTATGAACACAAACAGGAAAAAGAACGATACACGCTGTTCTCAATTATAGCTTTACATAACCCAGCCTGTCAGTCTGTGTCTTTCCTATTGAGGAATTGAGACCATCTGCACTGAGAGTCCTCAAGGAGCAGTGTTTGCTGACTCCTGTTAGTTTTTTCTTATGGTGTGGGGTTCCCTCCCCATGTCTTTTGATTTGCTGTCATGGGATTATTTATTCCTATGTTTTCTTGGGTGTTTCTCTTGCAGCTTTTAAATTTTCTTTCTCTTATGTGGTTAGTGTTCTAATTATATGTTGTGAAAATTTATTTTCTAGTCTGGTCTTTTTGGTGCTAATTATGCTTCTTATACCTTGGTAGGGATTTTCTCCTTTAGGTCAGAGAAATTTTCTTCATTGATTTTGTTGAACATATTTTCTGTGCCTTTGGCCTGGATTTCTAGGTCCTCAATTCCTGTTATTCTTAGATTTAGTCTTTTCACAGTATCTCAGATTTCCTGAAAGCTTTGTGCCTGTTTTTTTTTAAAAAAATTTAACATTTTCTTTGACTAAGGAATCTATCTTTTCTATCTTGTGCTCAATCCCTAAGATTTTTCTCTTGTATGTTGTAGTAGTGTGAACGCAATTGTCCTCATAAGCTCATAGAAAGTGGAACTAACAGGAGGTGTGGCTTTGTAAAAGTAGGTGTGGCCTTGTTGGAGGAAGTGTGTCACTGTGAGGGTGGGCTTTGAGGTTTCATATATGGTCAAGTCATGCCCAGTATCTCAGGCCACTTCCTGTTACCCATATATCAAGATGTAAAACTCTCAGCTCCTCCAGCACCACGTCTGCCTGCATGCTGCCATGTCCCATCGTGATGAAGACACCTCAATAATTTTTTCTTTATAAGAGTTACCATGGTCATGATGTCTCTTCATAGCAACAGAAACTCTAAAACATATGTCTCGTATTCTGTTGGGGAGACAGACTTTGTTTCACGTCCTAAAATTTTAATCTCCAGTTTTACCTCAATTTGGGTTTTCTTTAATTTTAATTTCAGACACTCAACTGTTTCATTCACTTCCTTCCACTGTTTATGCTTTCACAGACTTTATTAAGGGGTTGATTGATCTCCTCTTTGTGGTTTTTAAGCGTATTCATAATAGCTGTTTGAAGGCTTGGCTTGTGCTTCAGCTGTCTTGCTTTTCAGGAACTTTTCTGTAGGAGAGTTGCTGGACTCTGGCGGAGGCTTATAGGTTAGGGTGGTGTGGGTGTGGTTTCTCAGTGGCATCTAGGTTCCTAGATTTGTGGATATCCATGATTGTAGGTGTTGATATATGGTCTTCGTAGGGTCGAGGGCTCTGTTACTTGGTTCTGTCACCTGCTCTGGATCTGAGGAAACTGTGGTGACTATGGGTTGTCTCATAGGGAGTACTTCTGAGTCCCTGCCACTGGGGTTCCTGGGGGTTCCTGTAGAATGTGTTTCTAGATATTTGGGGCTGGCGTAAAGGAATGGGCTTGGACTAGGAGAGTAAAGGTCTGGAAGTGTCTATAGGGAGAAGGGAACGGGTCTGCCACAAGAGTTAACAAAGCCCTCAGAGAGGGAAGTCAGAGAGCAAGCAGTGGTCGTATACAGTGCCGTGAGTGGTCTTACACAGGACAGTGAGTGGTCTTACACAGGGCTGGGAATGATCAGCTGTCTTTGAGTCATTTCTGCTCCTGTTATTAACCTCTCACCCATATTATTGTAGCCTCAATAAAACTTGTTGATTCACCAAGTTGGACTGAGGTTGTAGCCTCACTTTGATCGGTAATGATTTTTTATCTGGGGTAAACAGATATTTGTTCTTGTCTCCCCAGAAATAGCTTCACATAAATGTTCACTACAATGCTACTCCCAATAATAATCTGATTATCATTGTATTAGACAAGCAAGTTAAGAGGAAAGCCAAGAATTGAGGATAAAGACATTTACTTCCTTATTCTGATTAAAATAACCAAAAGTTCCCATGCAATGTATATTAAAAAATGGAGATTATGACTTATTCATTTAGTCTTGCATTAATGACTGGATTGAGGGATATAATTAGCTATTTGGAGGAAGTCCTTTGGTAGAGCACTCAGATAGCCCAATGAGCTGGGCAGCCCGAATTGAGTTCATGAGTTCCTATATTTCCCTAGAACAGTTACTCCAGAGTTTATCAATGAAAATAAATTGAACAATCATCTTAGTTCAGACAGGCTGAGGGTTTGGATCTCCTATTTGCTACTGGTTCTGATCAAGGTAATATAAGGTTGATTAAGTTGTACTGAATGGAATTTTGCTTAAACAGTAATAATAGAAGTGTTGTGGTTTCTAGGAAAAATAGATGAGTGACCAGAGTCATTAACAGGTTATTTTAGGTAGAAATAATTCAAGATCTGTATTTGGGGTTAAAACCCAGGACTAGAAGTGTATGCCGTAACCTCCAGCCATAAGGGCCTTTAGTTTTGCTGTGTGTCCAGTAGACAATGTTCCTCCCTCCAGATCGACCCTATTCTCACTCCCGTTGCTTCACTTGGCCATTCACATTCAAGTGCTCAGAACTGCAGATGTGGGGGTTCACACTTCAGATCACATGCACGGGAGACACGCGGCCAGTGCTTTTCTGATTTGGCTTTGGTGAATTTAACATGGTCATTCCTGTGCACGAAAGGAAGTTCACAGTAGCGTGCTTTCCTATACATAACATGAGTGCATACTGATTGAATTTTCCCTTGTGGAAAATGAAGTTTCTCCTGGGAAAATCACAGCCAGCTATACAGCTGGAGAAAGCGCCCATGTCCACTATGACCTTTTTTTCAAGAATAAAAAACCCCAGCAGCATCCCTTCTCTCACTCACTTATCCTTCTTCACGTGGAGGCAGACTGTCTGTGTCCTAAGGCCTTCCTTGTCCAGGAAGTTAGAGTCACAGCTGTGGCAAGAGAATGGCTCCTGCTACCCATCACCCTCGCATGCAGAGCTAAAACATACTGTGCTCACTCTAGGCTCACTGCGCCCAGAGTAGACTTGTTCTAGAAAAGTGCATGAGCAAAGTGTTCCTTTTCTGGCCGCCCTCTTGCCTGCAAGACATAAGTGTGTTGTCAGTATTAGCAATTTCCCCTCTGAGATTCACACTTTCCCAGCTCTCAATTCCCCTCTGCTGAATTTCCCTACATCCAGTCCTCACTATGAGGTTTAGTCCTTTTTCACCCCCCTGACATTGTGTAACAATCCCAATATTTTACAAAGAAACAATTCAAGACCACAGGTGCTTAGGTGAAAGGCATGGCTAAGGTCAGAAGAGCAGAGCTCTGACTGGAACCTGGAGTGTTCTAAGTCGCCATCCGGTCCTTCTCTGCGGACACCAGCGCCCCATCGAAAACCACTTACACACACTTACACCACTTACACCAGGTACACACACTTACACACACTTACACCACTTACACCACTTACACACGCTTGTCCCGAACGCCTACGCTGTGCCACACCCCATGCTGAATGCTTTCACCCTCAACCTCATTTAACCTTGCATTCACATCCAAGGTTTTATATACTGTATATAAAATACTGTAATTCAGGATAAAAGCTACAAATTCACTCTAATCAAGTTTTACCCTAAAATTAAAGACCAGGTCTGAAATAGTAGGGCATTCGGTGATTATTCTTCTCTTGCCCTCCTCTCAAAGACTCATTGAGGATTTGATGGTGCTCCTGGCGGGCATTGTTGTGTAGCCCTGGTGATTTCTCTCTTCCTATTTCCTTTCTTTATGAAAGGTCCCATGGGAATAGCAGAGTCTCAACTCCCCCTCCCCTCCCCTTTCAAGCCCCTGCTATGGATCTCACCTCCACACCCACCCTTTTCCCTTCCAGTGGCGAGCAAGAGGAAACACAGACACAGGAAGGTCTTGTAAATAGCTTCAATGAAAGAGAGTTACTCTCCTTGGAGCCTGTCTGGAAAGGAAACAGCGCCCAGAAAACAGCTTCAGCATTAAGGATTCCTCGAGCACCCAGGACTGTTGCTTTTCGCAGAAGCCTTGGTGCGTGCTTTTCCTTGTAGGTTGGAAACACTGTTAACTATAGCCACAGCTGGTTTCTGGATGGTTCGTTTTACCACCCTCTCAGGTTCCTGCCTCTTCTTGTCCCTGGATTTCGAGTTTGGCCGGCTCTCATTTTTAGATCGAGACCTGCCATCTTCTCTTGAAGGCCCTACTCTGATGTTGTCCATTGCCCTGGTCCTGGTTTGTATCCTGGTTCCCATATGGGCCTCTTCTCTGGTGTTGGTGCACTCCTGTGTCCTGGCTCTGGCACGAGCCTGTTCCTTGCCCCTGGCACAAGCCTGTTCCTGGGCCCTGGCATACACCTGGGCCATGGCTCTAGACCTCGCTCTTGACCTTGACCTTGCCCTTGACCTGGCCCTTGACCTGATTCTTTTCCTAACCATTGATCTGGTTATCCTGGACTTTGCCTTAAAAATCCTAGACTTGTGATTCCAGAATTCTCTGGCCTTCTTGGCTGCCTTGCGATGCGAGTGGGGTCTGCGTAGTCTTGGTGATGTTGATCGGAATTGGAGTAGGGTCTTCCTTGAAGAGCGGCGGCCCAGCACCAGCCAGGACTGTCCCATCTTTTCCCTCGATTTAGGAACCTTCCAGACCCTGAAGTAGCCTGTGGTATCGTTGCCACTGACCCTCAGAAGCGTACCCCTCTCAGACCTGGAAGAGTCCCTGTTGTCTCCTTTGATCTTCGGGTGCACTTCATAGCCAGCATTTCCCAGCTCCTTCTTGAGCTCTGCCAGAGTCAGCCCCGGTTGGTCAGCGATGGCCCTGAGCAGTAGCTGGGACACCTTGAGCACTGAGCGCGTGCCCTTCCTGGACGGTGTCCCCAGTGTTCTCCCTGCAGGCTCTTTGATCTGGATTGTAATTTCTGAGCCTTGGGATTTTCCTCTGGGCCGGGCCCCCTTAGCCATGAGCCCCGCTTCCCTACGCGGGGCCACCTACTTTGATCTGGCCTCAAGACTTACAAAGTGTGGAGCTTTGGGGCACCCACGTCACAAAGGGGAGCCCGGGCCCCCGTGCTACTGCCTTGGTGGGAGGGCAGACACAGCTTGCCTGCAGATTGACCTCCTTCGACTTCTATGACTCCCATCCCCCCTCCACACCCCCAGTTCTTTAGAGCTGCTTGTCTCTCCCCTCCAGGGATTTGATCTGGGTCGGTTCCTGCAGGAGTTCTTATCTTTCTGGGATTGTGCTAACACCCACCCAAGAAAAGAGGAGCTGCCCCCAACCCACACCAAGAAACCAATATGATGTGTGTAAAAAGGAAAAGAGGATCCAAGAAACAAAAGCCCAGGCCACCTCCCACCCCCCACTGCCACCTCTGCACTTATGTCTCAAAGCAACCTGGCTGTGCAATGGAAGGAATTGCCAAGGGCAGGAGAGAAAGAAGCTCTTCTGTGGTCTCCCTGCTGTTCAGGTTCTCACCATGGGAAGGTGAGAGGCCTCCTTCCCATAGACAGGATGGCCAGACCCAACCAGGTTTCGAATCCCCGGAAAATACTTTCTTGGATTGCCTATCCACTCTACTTTTTTCCCTGTCTAGACAAACTTTCAAGTTCTTGCTACAATTCTTTCTCCAAAACTGAAGCTCTCCAGGCCAATTGATCCTTCTTAATTACCACAACCACAATTATTTCTGTAATCCTACGCGCTTTTTAGGTTTTGTTTTTAATTTGGTATGTAAGGGTACAATGCATGTAATAAATTTTAGGAAAGAAAAAAACCTGGATTTCGGTTAGGAGACATAGGTCCATAAACACAGAACGCTACTCTAACATAGAAGATGTGGTGGTCCAATGCCTCAAGCTAAAACGCCAACTGAAAACCAAGCTGAAAGCTTCACTATGATGAGATACGTCCTAAGATTTTTCTGCTTAGGTGTGTTACTTTCCTGGCTGGTTTCATGTCATCTTGATACAAGCTAGAGGCATCCCAGAGTAAGGAACTTCACCTGGAGAAATGCCTTGATGGGATCCAACTGTAAGGCATTTTCACAATTAGTGATTGTCTTGGGGTTTCTAGGGTTGTTAAAGAGACACCGTAACCATGGAAACTCTTATCAAGGAAAACATTTAATTGGGTGGCTTATGGTTTAAGAGGTTTGGTTCATTATCATCATGGCAGGCCGTGGAGGTGTGTAGGCCAACATGGTGCTAGAGAAGGAGCTGAGAGTGAAGAAGGAGCTACATCTTGATCCTGCAGGCAACAGGAAGTAGTCTGAGATACTGAGATACTTGAGCATATATGAGACCTCAAAGTCTACCTCCACAATGACACACTTCCTCCAACGAGGGCATACCTATTCCAACAAAGCCACATCTCCCATAATGCTATTCCCTATGAGCTTATAAGGGCCAATTACATTCAAACTACTACAGGGATCAAGAGGTGAAGGCCCAGCCCATGGTGGGTGGGACCGTCCCTGGGCTGGTGGTCCTAGGTTCCACACAAAAAGCAGGCTGAACAAGCCCTGCAGAGCAAGTCAGTAAGCAGCACTCCTCCGTGAACTCTGCATCAGCTCCTGCCTCCAGGATCCTGCCCTGTTTGACTTCCTGTTCTGCTTTCCTTGGGTGATGAACAGCAATGCTGAAGTCTAAGTCTAATAAACACTTTCCTCCCCAACTTGGTTTTTGGTCATGGTGTTTCATATGAGCAATAGAAATCTTAATTAAGACAGTTACTTTTAATTAACTTTAATTGTGAAGTCATCATGAAAGAGGGTTTACGTTATGGCATCCTCATACATAATCTTCATACATTTTTTCTTTTTCATCCCTTTTCCCTAGTGCCCATTCCCTTGCCTTCTTCCTGGTTTCTGTTCGAGAGGGCCACTTGTTGGTTCCCAGCCGCCCGACTAGCTTAGACCCAAAATAATCACACAGAAACTCTAGTAATTGAATTACTGCTTGGCCCATTAGCTCTAGCTTCTTATTGGCATATATGTGTATATATATACATACATATATATTTACTCATTTCTGTTAATCTGTATATTGCCATGTGGCTGTGTCTTACCAGATAAAGTTCCCACTGTCTATTTCCAGTGGCTCCATGGCTTTTCTCTAATTCTTCCTTTCTCCTCCCATGCTATAGGCCAAGCCAGTATCTTTATTCATTACCCAATAAAAGCAACACATAGACAGAATAATCTCCCACACCATTTCCCCTTTTCTGCTTAAAAAAAAAAAGGAAGGCTTTAACTTTAACATAGTAAAATTACATATAACAAAACAGTTGTCAAGCAAGAATTACAGTTACAATATTTACATCTACTTTATCTTTTATCATAACTAAGGAAAACTATAACTATAAATTCTTCAACTCTATTAAACACTCCAGAAGCATATAATATTACCTAAGTAAGCAGGAAATACATTGCAAGCAATTTCTAAAATTCTAGAATTGACAGAGACATCTTTTGTTGTTGTTGTTGTTGTTGTTGTTGTTTTTGATTTTTGAGACAGGGTTTCTCCGTAGCTTTTGGTTCCTGTCCTGGAACTAGCTCTTGTAGACCAGGCTGGCCTTAAACTCACAGAGATCCGCCTGCCTCTGCCTCCGGAGTGCTGGGATTAAAGGCGTGCACCACCACCGCCCGGCTTGACAGAGACATCTTGTTACCTAGACAGTCATCCAAAGTTTTTCTGTACCATTGAAGCATCCATCTTCAGCCTACAGGCCCATAGTATCCACGAAGCAGGACATTTCAAAGGCAGTTTTGTCTATACTGGTAGTTTGTCCATCACATTTTTCTGTGTCCTGCAGAATGTTTAGCAGACTCTTTCATAAATCAGGAACCCCAAAGGATCATCTCACCTTTAGGCAAGTTTAGCAGTCATTTCTCTGCGGTTCCTGAATGTCCAGTTTATCAAGCAGTCTAGGCAAGAACATTTTCTTGCCAAATGATCAACCAACTCCATAAGGAACCTCTTCAATGCCTGTCATCCTCTTGAACTTATTGGTGTTACTAGGAGCAGATGTGTCTCACTATCTTAAAAACTCTTCAGTTTGCAAAGATTTTAATTGCCATATTCTGAAGGTCTCTGAAAGATTTGAAGAATACCTATCTAACTGAAATATATCTCTAAACATCTAGAAAATCTAACATGAATACAAGCTTGACTATTATAGATGATTATCTATTAACCTATATTTAAATTATACATTACATTTTTAAAATGAACTACACAATCACAATACCTTAATCATGAGCAGAAATATACATATAACAAGATTGACATTAAATTTGTATCAATAAACCAAGATCTATGCCAATGCAAATCTCTATAGCAAATCCCCCTTTAAAAGTAAAGAAACATTTACAAACAATATTTGGGAATATGGGTGTAGTTTTGTCCAAACTTCTTCCTGCTGTTTATTGAGTAAAGTAATTTTTGAAGGTGTTCATGGCAACCTCTCAGGGGGTAATAGTCTATTAAACCATATTAACCTGCAATGAATTTACAGGTTCTCATCCTCTGTGGAAACCAAAGAACCTCTTTTCTAAAGCAATATATCCTTAGACCCAAATTCTGAAGTCAAGATACCTTTATAATTGTTATGCCCAAATCCGTGGGTCCCCACAAAAGCCAGCAAAGGGGACAAGTCCCATATGAAAAAGGAAAGAGCCTTTATTTTAATCAAGTTTGCAAACTCTGTTTCTCTGCATATCCAACATATTGGAGTATCCCAAAAGCCCCGAGCTCAAATTTGGTTTTTATAGTAGTAAAGGTGGGAGTAGGGGGTCTCTGAGGTTCAGGACCCCTGATTGGCTGATATTTGTCTAAGGGTGTCCTGATGAAGTGCTGGCAGGTGTTTCTATTCACACTGCTTGGAATGCCAGGAATTTCCTTTAAATTGTCTGCTCTTGGGTGGGGGTCAGGTAATCTTGGCCTGCCAGGCATTGTCTCAGGGTAAACTATTGAGACTCTAGACTCCATTTAAATTTATCAGTGGCCAGAGTCCAGGGTAATAATGGTTGGAGGAAGTAGAGAACTTTTTTTCTGCCAAGACTTAGATTATCATCGCTGGCCCTCACAATAAAATAAATGCTGGTTTAGCATAGTAGCCTACCCAATGAAATGTCTCTCTGTACTTAGCTTATTCACAGTCAAAAAATTCAAAGAAGACACAATAATATACATAATACAGACTTTCTGTGCATATTCCATCTTTATGTGACTTCTTTTTACTCTATTACTTTTTAATATTTATTTTATTATCTTTACTCCTTTAATCTATGATTGTACTCTCTTTAAAGACTTTATTTTGTTTTTAAACCATTTATTTCTTTTTATAACTCTCTATACTCTTTTTTTTCCAACACTGTGACTCATTTAGAAGTCTTTTGTGTCTGAATCTGTCCTATTATATATCTGTAATTCTTTACTGTCTTGAAGAGCTTTTAAAATGGTAAACAGCTTGGCAGCAGCTGTTCTGGATGCTGGCTCTGCCTCTCTCCACTTTCAAAATGGTGGAGGTACCATTACTACCAGCTCTGAGACTGCCAGGTAGGAGCTGCGCTCAGCACCTTAACTTTGAGAATAAGCATGCAGCACAGAAACCCTTTCTATCTGAGTAATAGCTAAATATCAATGATTTAAATAATAAAGGATTATTTAAATACTGTATTATTTAAATCATTGCTTGACCCATTAGCTTTTGCTTCTTATTGGCTGACTCTTACATATTAATTTAACCCATTTCTATCAATATGTATATCACCACGTGGCTGTGGCTTACCAGGTAAAACTCCCAGTGTCTATCTCTGGCAGTTCCATGACTTCTCTTTAACTCTGTCTTCTTCCTTCCAGGCTATAGGCCAAGACAGTTTATTCATTAACCAATAAAAGCAACACATAGACAGAAGAACCTCCCACACCAGGTTTCCCTTTCCTCTTCCTGAGGAAAGACT